GGTCAGGTCAATCTTCATACCTGACCTGAATTTTTTTTAAAAATCTCATACCTGACCTGAATTTCAGGTCAGGTCAGGTCAGGTTACCTGAATTTGGCTGACCTGTTCGGAGCTCTAGTTCCTGATATAGTTTTTAATCTGCAAGAATTTAAAGGTAAATATAAGAGATATTTTACCTTTAACTTGAAAAAAAAAGGAACTGCTATTAAAAGAGAAATTAAGATAACAACTTTAAAGTTTTGCAAAAAACTATTGACTAGATATAGTTAAATAAGAAACAAAAGGTAACCAAATAAGTTAATAAGATCTTGGATGGTATTGATAAACTAATTGTTTTAGCTGAAATTAGATTGATACTTAGAAAGTTGAGAATAACTTAAAGTAGTTTAAAATAATGAATATAATTGGCTTAGCTTTAGGAATGTAATAATAGTAGGGTGACTTTATTACTAACTGTTTTCTTTATTTTACTTTATTTTTTATAGTTCAATTAGCATTTTTGTGCAACTTATAGGATTTATTTACTAACATCTAGCAGGTAGGATGTTTATTGTTTTTTAAAATAGTAATTTTATTTTAAAACAAATATTATATAATATTTTTTAATATTATTAAGATAATTAAATTTGCTATTAATAAAAATATTATAAAAAAATCTGAATTTAAAGAATTAATTTGTCCTTTACTTGAGAGCAAAAGGAGTACTGATATTTAAAGTGATTTATTTTTCAACTATAATTATAAATTTATTTTGTAGTACATTTTTTTACATAAAATATATTTTTACTGCTTTTAAAAAAGTAGTATTATTTTAATGTTTATTATTTATACTATTATATGTAATTATTTTTATTACTATTCTGCAATAATCTAGTTTATTGAAATTATTGTAAAATATTTTCATTTTCTTAATTAATATTTGGCTTATTAATTTAAAAATCTAAAAATTTTACTTATTGTATTGTTTTTGATTGAAGCCATTTGACAGGCTCGTAAGACTGTAAGACTCAAATTCAATGAATAAGCTAAAATGTTCATGGATATGAAATAATCCTTTATTAGTTTGAAAAATAAAAAAATTAAAAAGAGCCCAAAAAGTTAATTCTTTCATCAGATCTTGGAATTTTATTTATTTTATGGATAGTACAATTGATCAACGAATATAAAAGGTTGACACAAAAGAACCGAAGCCCAATGACGCGGACCCTTACAGGTATTTATATAAAAAGAAACTATTTAAACCCCAACCAGGTCTAAATAGGAATGGTTTTTATGTTAGTGTAATATTATGCTAATCGCCAAATCCTACTTTCAATGTGCCTCTCACGTGAATTTTAATTAACTATACGTAATTGTTGATCAAGTTTTACTTATAAAACGAATAATTGAAACTTATTTCTGATTTTCTGTTGATTTTTAATCACGGCTTGTTTATTGCTATACGAGAATATAACCATGAGTCAAATAAAAGATCGTGTTGAAGTAAATATCTATAATACGAAATTTTTAAAATAACTTGTACGAATATAATAATTCAAACTTTCTTCTTTCTTCTTTTTAGAAACTTATTCAGACAAATCCTGTTATGATGTTTAGTAAAAGTTTTTGTCCATATTGTAAAAAAGCAAAAGCTACTTTGAAAGAACTTAACGTTGAACCTGGAATTTGCGAATTAGATGAAGATTGTAAGTGTTATGGGATTGTTATTATTTTGATACTTGTTATTAAATATTAAAATATGTATCATAGCCGAAGGAAGAGCTATTCAAGATTATCTTAAGGAGAAAACTAGCCAAAATACCGTACCAAACATTTTTATCAAGGGTCAACACGTTGGAGGTATCAAAATTTCTTTTATCTTCTGTAAAAAAAATAAATTTTACTTTAATAATGTTATTGGCTTTGATTTTAGGATGTGATGATCTTTTAGCTGCTAAAGACAATGGATCCCTTAGTAAAATGATTGCGGCTCTTTAAATTATTTAAAACAATTTTTTTATCGTATAAATGATACGCATACAATCAAATAAACAAATTAACGGTTTTTTTAAATAAAATTTGTTATAACAATTCTTAACAATTCTTTATGATATAATTAATAATTTGTCCAATAATATTGATGTGTTACGTTTATATCAAATTTTTTTTTTTTTTTTTTTTTTTTGAAACTGCTTTTAAGCAACATTATGTCTGAAACTCCAATTGATATAGTTATTAGTGGTCTTCAGACACAAATCTCTGAATTAAAAGAAATAATTTCTGGTAAACTAAATAACTAAATTAATTATAAATACGATATATCTCTCTTATTAATCTTTTCCCTATATAGGATTAAATAATGATCAAAATACTTCTTCGACAGCACAAACGGCACAAACAGCACAAGTAAGATCTATAGAAAATGAACGCAATGCTTTACAAATTGAAAATTCTAAATTAAATTATCAGATTACTCATCTGTTGCGTGCTTTAAATAAAAAAGATAATGAAATCTCTTTGCTCAGAAAGGATCTTAATAAATCAGGGTTCAAATGAATTCGCTCAATTTTTTTTACTTTAAACCTAAATGTTTTATTAATTTTTGTAATTTACCGTTCAAGTGTATTAAAATAATTTACTGAAGATTATAATAGAAACATATGATTGAAATGAATGTAATATGATAAGAATTTTCTTTTACATAATATAAGTACAAATTATTAGAATTATTTTTTTTTTTTCCTATCTAAAATTAAATAAATCTATATAAGAATATAATAACGGAAAAAACTTGAATTATGAAAATTATCAAAAATGTCCGAAATCATTCATCAAATATTTTCTACAAAAAACTTTTTTTTCATCCTTTCTGTCTGACCACCAAAAGTCCCTTTGGTCTGCTTGATATTGGTAGACAATATACCAATGAAATGCATCGCACTTATCATACTGTTACAATTATTTCTGATTATTTTTTTCTAATGAAAAAATAGTATACTAATGCGGCTACTACTGCTAAGAGAACGATTGTAATAAAGAGGCAATACCATTTTTTCTAAATAAAAATAAGAATTAGCAAGCATTCAAAGATTTTAAATGTAAGTATATAATCAAACTTACTCTTCTTGCAGCTTTTGCACTCTCTAAAGCCTTCTCTACATGAACAACACCTTGCTCCATATTTGTTTGAACTTGAGTTGCATGTTCTTCGATTTGAGTTATTGTTGTATCTTGAGCTTCAACAAGAATTTGCATTTCTTGGAAGAGATTTGCAAGTTCCTAAAATTTTAATTCGATAAGCAAAAAAGAAAAAAATATTCTCAATACTAGTTTAGAAAAATCTAACTTACTTCGATGGTTCTTTCAATCTTTTTGATATCATCGTGTCGTTTTTGTACTTCTTGTAAAGCATCTTTTGCTGCACCATACCTTGTAGAGTTCATGAGCTACCAAATCATTAAAATAAGAGATTATTCTAAATTAAGTAAATAAATTATCATAGTGAAAAAATTTAATATAAAAACTAACCGATTGAGCGAAAATTTGTCCTCCATCATCATTATCTAATGCTTCATCAATTTCTTCTTGTGAAGCGCTGGGTTTAACTATTATTAAATTAATTGTTAATTGGTATTTTCTAATTAACCATTGCTATTTCAATTCACATATAATTCACTTATCAAATCTCGTATAACATACCAATTTTATATTGTCTTTCCATGCGATCTCTATATTTCTGACGATTTTGAAACTCAACTTTTTGATATTCTTGTAAGGTATCCATAAATTTTTGACGTAGATTAGCTGTCTAAAATACAAAGAAATTCATTTAAAACGCTATAAATATAAACTAAAGAAATAATATATATTATTTATTAAAATAACACCTGTGGTTTCCGAACTGTAAGATCCCCAGGATTTACTTTTAGATTTGAAACCTCTATTTTTTTGATTCTATCTTTTACTTGGACAAGAAGTTGACGTGTTTCGGAAACAATTGAATCAAGCTGGCGTTTATTGGCTTCATCCTCATTAATTACGCCCAAGGAGCGTGAATGTAATTCATCAACACGGTTAATGTTGTCTTTTATTTGACGAATCACATCTGAAATTGACGAAACCTGAATAAGAAATAATTCAATAACGTTAGATATTATTATAACAACCGAGAATTATAAAGTGATTTTGATATAAACACTGAATCTTTTAAAAAAGAAATCAACGGAATTCACCAAGTGTCAAGACACCTAGAAACTCTGTGATTGACTTGTTCTCTTGCTATTGATTCTTCCTAATTGAATTTTTTAAATAAAGTACCTCCTGAAAAAACGCATTCAAATTTGATATATCGGAATTGACTTGAGTCATTTCGATATTCTGTTGAGAATAACCAACATTTGGCTGATTATATTGTTGATTATAATTTTGTTGCTGTTGACCATAATTTGTATACGCTGGTTGAGCTGGTTGACCATAACCTTGTTGCTGTCCGTATTGCTGTTCATATTGCTGTCCGTATTGTTGCCCGTATTGTTGCTGTTGACCATATGGTTGTTGTGGATACCCTCCTTGATTACCGTAATAACCCTGCCCCCCCTGTTAAATAATTAATAGTAAGTTCCGAGACCATTTATATAATATTATAGATGAGTAAATAAACAGACAAAAAGTTACCGCATAATCACCACCGTAACCTTTGCTCATTTTAAATAAGAATAATACAAAAGTAAAAGGTTAAAGTCGGCTTATTACAAAGTTTCAAAGTCAGGAAAAAGGAAAGAAGATGAAAAGAGTGAGAATATATGTCAAGGAAATTAACAATATAACGAATAATAAATTAATAATTTGATCAAAATTATTTATCATTGTCTGACGTTACTCGTTATGCGACCAAATACAGTTACTCGATAGAGATTATGATTCTGGTTTATAATTTAATATACCTGCATAAATTAAGGAGCGGGCGGAGTATTTTTATAAACAAGATGATCAACGATTTTCTATATTTGTAAAACGTGTTATATATACAAATTTATAAATAGGAAAAGAATATTACACTTAGCCTCATTTATTTTCTTTTGATCATGCTTTCCCGTATTTTGAAAAAAGCAATTGTGTTTGATGCATTTCCTAAGGTTGACGCTGATTGTCAACATCGAAGTCCACAAGGTGGTCTTGTAACAATCATTGTATCAATATGTTTATGGTTTTTGATTGTTAGTGAATTTAGTGAGTACTGGTATCTTAACCAAAAATACGAATTCGTAGTAGATCAAAATATAAATCACAAATTACAGATTAATGTTGATATTACAGTAAATACTCCGTGCGATTGTAAGTTGTAAATATTTATTTAATGTTGATTCAAGTACATTGCACAAACCTAATTTGAAATCGATATGATATGTTTGATAGATTTGACAGTAGATGTGATAGATGCAGCTGGAGAAGGGCTGCACATGACACACGAACTTCGAAAAATATCGGTATAAATATCTTGATTACGAATTGAAGTGGTTCATTATTTAAAATCTGCTAAATAAATTTTTTAGACAACATTTGAAGTAAGATCCGCGCATCTATTAGGGTATCTCTATTTTTATTACTATGTTACTACTATATTATACATTTAGCTAACTAAATAATTTTCAACGGCCAGCGATGATGATGATGATGATTCAAGATTAAATGTTAAACAAGTAGTTATGGCTGCTAACTCAAACACTGATTCATTTTCTCCGAATAATGATGTCACTGGTAATTACTAAATTTATGTATATTTTATTCGATCCATCACTATTATATTATAAATAATTTTTTTTATCACTTAAACAGAAAATACGCAAACGGCATGCAGGATTTTCGGAAATTTGGATGTCAACAAAGTCACAGGTAATTTACATATTACAGCACTTGGCCATGGATATGGCTACTATAATACTGCTGTTGAACGTAAGTAAATTAAATTTAAAAATTAGATTCTTTATCGAATTAATCAGATAGCTGATTTAATTTAATTATTTTTAAAGTATTGAATTTCACACATAGAATTGATGAATTCTCGTTTGGAACTCATTATCCGCGTCTTGTAAATCCGCTCGATAATAGTGTAGAAATTGCCGAAGCTCGTATGTTCTTATTATATTTTAAATAGTCGTGACAAAGAACCTAAGTTAAAATTTTTTTTAATTTTAGACAAGGAAGCCTTTCTGTATTTTTTATCAATTGTGAGTTGATTTGAAATTTTTTATCATAACTTATATTTTTCCATAATATCTTGGAATTTATTTATAATAATATGGGAATTTATTTGTATTATTATATTATTACTATTATTTATTTATTATTATTATTATATTAGGTTCCAACGACATATATAGATAATAATAACCATGTCTTGTTAACTAATCAATATTCAGTAACGGATTATTCTCGCGTAATTGAAGGAAGAACCGGTATCCCAGGTATAAAGATTTAGGTGAAATGTTTTCTGGAAATTATTTTGTTTCTAATTTCACATGTACAATTTAATTTAATAGGTATTTTCTTCAAATATGATATTGAGCCAATTTCCGTACGAATCGCTGAAAATGGCGTGAGTTTTTTTACATTTTTGGTTAGATTAAGTGGACTCGTAGGTGGTATATGGGTAACAGCTGGGTTTGCATTGAAAATCGTAAATCGTATTTGGTCATCATTGCAAAAGTATCTCTGACAATAATGGATCTCAGAAATTATACAGAGAATAATACCTTAATTGTTCTAATCTGTTCTCTTTATTTGAGAATAATTTATCGTAATTTGTACATAAATAAATGTATCTTGTCTAGACTAATAAAGTTTAATGATATTCATTATTACGAAAGGCTCTTCACAGAAGTTGGTTTAATCCGCTGAAGTTTTTAGCTAAGACATAAAAAGAAAAAATTGTTAGAAGTCTAAAAAAAAAAATAAATCACCTTAAATAATTACCCGTACTCCTGTCTCTTATACACATCTAGATGTGTATAAGAGACAGATCATTAACTAGACGGTGTTGTTTGATCACAGAGAGTCCCTTAAATGCCTTTGAAGAAATTTCGATCGCGTACATTGATCCACACCCTCCTTATAATAAAAAAACATGAGTGAAATATAGAGCATAAAAAAATAATTATAAATAATTCACCTGAAATATCTTCCACCTGTAACTTAGTGGGTTGAAATTTCGAATGCAATTTGTCATAAAGATATTTTTCTCCTTCAGTCAATTGAGAGCTAGAAGCATCATCATTGAAACATCGAATTATTCTTGTTTGAATATTTTGTGTTATTCGACGTTGGTTAAATTTTCTGAAGTTTCGTTGAAAAATCGTGCGTTTCAATATATTAGACATTTTGTTGAAAGTTGGGACTGTAGATCATTTATTTATCGATTTAACATGCATGCCTTTCCACGTGCGCTTAGTGTAGATCGACCTTAACCTTCACCCGTTCTAACTGACGAGAAAAAGTCATGGAAAATAAATTTGTTTCTTCAAAGGAATTAGAAGAAGCTAGACTTAAAAGACAGGAAGAATGGAAGAAAGCTTTTGAAAGGATAGGCGAAAGTTCTGTCACGTTGTTTTTTTTCGTAAAAAAAGTCGTGAAACCTTTACTGTTGAACTTACTAACTTTTAGGATATTATTATATTAGAGCCTCCTCCTATTGAAGAGGAGTATGATCCTCGAACATTATATGAAAGACTACAAGAACAAAAATTAAAGAAGGAAGAAGCATTTCAGGAAATGACTAGATTTAGTATGTGATAATATATTTAATATTTGTTTATTTATGTGGACTTATCTTTGGGATAAAATTGAAACGATTAAACAATATTAGGTAATCTAATTCACAGATTGGATGAAGATGAAATAGAATTCTTAGCAACATTAGAAAGTGAAGAACGTGTTAAAGAATTGGAAAAAATGAAGAGAGATGAAGAAGAAGTTGAAAAATTTAGGCGGTTCGTATTTATATAGTATATCATTTCTTTGTTTTCCTCTTTTGTTAAAAAAAAAAATCTATCATTGTATATCTCAAAAAGATTCTTGGTATTCAATGATTAGAGCTGCGGCTGAAGCCGATAAGGCTGCAACTTCGAAGCTCATTATACATCATGAGCCCGTTCCATCATCGGTAAAAGTAAATACTTTAAAACACGACTCACAACGAATGATATTAGCGAATGCTGTGAAAAAAACCGTTAAACCAACACGTAAAAAATCATTACCAGTAACCATTAAGCAAGGACCATCATCACCACAATCACCAACAATTGGGCAGGAACCATCATCACCTAATATCATGAAGGAACAAACATCTCCAATTATTAAACGAGAACCACATGATTCTGATGAACAAGGAAGAGAAAACAAGCGAATTAAAATTGAAAAATTTAATGATTCTTTATCATCAAAACAAAAAGAAATTTCCGAGAGCTCAAATGAAAATCAATCGCCGTCAAAATTGAATTTTTCCAAGTCCAAATATAATGAAAAAAGTGTTATTGAAGAGAATGAAACGACTAATAATAGTAATCCTTTATCATCATTATTGGTGTATAATGACAATAGTAGCGATGAAGACGCTTAATAAAATAAAAGTTTGGTTTATTTAAAATGCCGGAGGTTTCACCCGGAACTTTTGTCGAATGTCACCAAATGACCGTATGACATTTTATGACGTTATAAGGCGCTAAACTTTAGCCCTTTTGATCTATTTAAAGAGCTTTTAAACTTTTCCTCCCCTCCCACTTCCTCCCCTCCCCTTAATTAAATTAAAATATGTCTAAATATTATCTTGGATATTTATATTTGTTGTGTATACTCGTTTTTATCTTGATAAAAACCTGTAATGCAACAGGTTAGTAAACTTTGATTTAAATTTTGTGAGGGATTTTTTTTTTATTAAATTAATAACAAATATGTAGACAATCAATGCGTAATTTGTACGTTAAGTATTCCAACGTGCGATCCTCCTTGTAAAAATGGAAAATGTATCGTAACAAAGCAAGATTGTTACTCATGTTCAAAAGCATATTGCCAATCTGACCGTAAATATTAATCCGACCGTAAATATTTTTCACTTTTTATTAATATTTATAAATATCTTACTTTAATTAAAAATAGAATGCATCAAGTGCTTTACCTATCCAATTTGCCCTAAATGTGCTAATGATGAAACATGTGTTATAGTAAAACCTGATTGTCATTCATGTGGATCCGCGGATTGCGTTAAAAAAGCAACTACTGCCGATTCCATCAATTCCTCAATTCCAACTAACTCTAACATCTAATCCATCTACTTGTAAAGTAACTCAACATTAACATTTAATCAGCCAGATAAAATAGAAATTGACTTATAAGTCGCTAATCAAGTTATTTTTATGTAATGAAAATCCAAATGTTTTTTTTTTTATTTGAAAATTATTTACAAAGAAATAAAAAGTCAAAGTAATCAAGAAGCTAAAAAAATATAAAAGACAAATTGAAAAAACAAAGTTTCTCAAGGTGAATACTATTTAACGTACTGGCTAGTGACTACTGACTATTAACTAAAAATAATAAACCTTTGCCATTTTTATAAATATATATACTTTTAATTGTGAATAAAAGTTCAAATAATAGATAAAAACCTAGGCAAGGAAAATGCTTGGGAGAAATGTTAAGAAAAAAGAAAGATGCAAAAAAAAAAAAAAATTTACAAGAAAATATGAATTGAATCGATACGAAAATAAGTAATTTTTACAAGAAATTCGTTTTCCCCGTCATCCCCTTTTCTTAAATATTTACACTAATTATAAATAATATGAAAGTAAAAATCATCAATTTGAGAACTTTAAATAAAATACTTAAATATTTTATAAGATATTTAATAAAATAATTATTATTCATTTAATTCATTAATATAAAACAGATCTTTTTTTTCTTCATCAAGGCACATTATAATTTAATATTTCAATGTTAACTGTACGTTTCCATCTTGTCCGATCTGAAATTCAACTTCCATGTCCGTTTCATCCTCAATTTGGTGAATAGAATCATCATCAATACGGACGGTAAGATTACGTTTAGTGCACCTAATTACATTCGTGATCGGTTGACCTTGAAGATCAATTTTCTCCGAGAGTTTATCAGTAAGTTTTGCGATAAGATCTTGAACAGTGAGATGATTAAGATAAACAGCTTTATACACAGCTTCACCTGGCAGTTTGACGTAAATGCAAAGAACTATAAATAGAAATAAATTTTAATATTAATATTAACTTTATAATATAACATTAAATTATTGTTCAATTTTATACCTGCACGACGTTTCCTTAGATGTGGAATATAAGTGGGATCGCAATCTAAAGGTTCCAAAAGATCGGATCCCATTGAAAATCTCTTTCGTTTGCCCAACTGAAGAGTCATTAGCTCACTTCCCTCTACATCTGGATCAAGATTATTTAAAGTCTCCGAGAGATTTAAAATTTCTTCATCATCCGACACGTTATTATTTCTCGTGCATTCATTAAATACAGTCACAGGATTTGGTGGAGCATACATCATTATCATTGGCGTTGTTTCTTGTGATTTAGCTTTTAATGTGATTAATAAATTTTAATTTAAATTCGTTAAATACCTTTAAAATTCAACGTTAAACAATAGTAAAATTTATACTATACCTCTCATCTTCTCGCACATTTTTTCTAAATGTTTTTGATCATCTTTATTTTTACGTTCGGCACCCTAATGAAAAATAAGATAACCCGAATATTAGTTAATAATATGTTCAATTAATCGGATGAATTTATTAAAAATTGATTTTCATTAATTACTTTGTCCCTGAATAATTTGATCTTAGCAAAGGATTTTTCAAGAGATGTACAGATTGCACCGCTATCACACTTTGTCTCGACATGAATTCTTAGTGGAATACCTTTAACCCCTTTTATTCGAGAAAAGTCTGTTGATAGGCAATTGAAACGTACAAAAATTTTTGCACCTTTCTTGCCATTCCATTGGAACTGTACACGATCAAAAATTTTTGTTTCCAAATTGCTGATCCCAGTTGATGCAGCTTTATCTTTATAAATGATAAATATCACATTTATTTTCACATGATAAATATATAACATTGAATTTACCCAAATAACACTTACCAATATCAACAGCTCTGGCATTTTTAGGTGATGCTTGTTGTGTTAACCAGAACCCCCAATAAGTGGAAGCCATTTTACGATGAGCATCATCATGAAACATTACTTTGATAACTGTCGTAAATTCGGCGTCGTACTTATCATGATCTTGCAATCCAATTGCATAATATTGACCTTTGTTAAGGTATGTTATAGGAGTTTCGTCAATGCGTTGAGCAGAAGCAGTAGGAGATTCGAGAAGTATTTCAAATCGCAAATTTCTAGCAAATAAAGATATCAGATCAACAATTATGAAGAATGGTACGTATAATAGTTGAGCATCATTACTTACGATGATTGATGAGGAGGAATACTCTCAGGCGGCGAGGGCATACTAACAGGAGTAACAGTACTACTATAATTTGACGCTTCTTGATTTGGAGATTGCTGAGACTGTTGAGACTGTTGGGCTTGTTGGGCTTGTTCAGGATTATGATAAGTAGTACTTGGGGTGGTATTAGTTTGATGTTGAATATGATGTGTCATATGATATCCGTTGCCACCGTTGTTACCAAGTGGGGAATTAACTGGACTAAGATCTGGTTGTGTTGATGATCCAGAAACAGGACTCACGGGTGGAAGTGAAGTTGTTGGCATTAATTGACCATGTTGACTCATTAACTGAGGAGGTTGATGTGAATCATGAGACTTATAGGCAGTATTAGACGGTGACGCCGGACTATTAAAAGAAAGAAAATTTTTTTATAAATATTCAGATCAGGAGTTTATTAATTAATGAAAACAAAAATGTACTAACTATGTTGTCGGAGAATAAGCATCTGGATGATATCTGATACTGAATAACAAACCAGAAAATGGTTAAAAATAATTCTTAGCCAAATAAACCTGCTTCATAAAAACTCAAAATTGTCACAATTATTTATTATCTCGATTATGTGATATTTGAAATTGTGATATTGTCGAATTGGACAACGACTTGTTTGGTTACAAGCAACAAAAAAAAAGTAATAGAAAAAATATTATATATATACATATATACACATAAAACCACTTACGCATGGGGAGGATATCCTCCTGTCGGTCCGAAATGTGGGTTAAAACCACCGTAATTTGAATGCATATGCGGTGATACTGGTAACATTATGTGTCGTCTGTGAGATATTTTTCAAGCAAATTTAAATTTAGTCAAAAATAAATTTTTTTTTTTAAAAAAAAAATCAAACCCCGAAAAAAAAGAAAGATTCTGACCTACTATTTGGAATGCGTTACTATATTTTAAAAAAAATGCGAAGGAAATTTATTAATTTTGAGGGAAAAAAAATTAAAAATCTAAATTCTTATAAAATTCATACAAACTCAAAATATTTGATATAACGTAAAAAATCGTAAAGTATAATTGATCGTATCAGCGGGACACGTTAATAATCGTAAATTCAATTAATATCTTCAATAAATAATTCAGGCTGCAGCGTTAAAAAAATTTACGTTGTTCGTGAACACGTTGCTAGTAGTATAAAAAAAGAATTCAATAACAAAATAGACACAATTATAACAAGTTAATAATAATATTATTAAAAGAATAAATTTTAAACAAGAATAACCTTGGTAAGTTGAAAATTTTTTTAAAGGTCGGTGCGGAAGACAAAAAAAAAGAGCTAGGCGAACACGAGAAAGTGTTTCTACCTGATCGAAAAAAATAGCAGCCGGTAGTCAGCAAGAAAACAGGGCCCGCCTGTTTATAAAAAAAAATTCTACCAATCAAAATGCAATATATGCATAATAGTGAAACATTTTCTTCAATAGAAAATAATATATATAATAATAGATAATATATAAATAATAAATTATATATAAATAAATAAATAAAATTTATGTATATCTAATATATATTTATATATTCTATTGTATTTTTTTTTTTATTGAAGAATGATAGAATGATATATATAGAGTTTATTTACATTATTATTTAGGATCGGAAGAGTATAAAAGCAAAGAGAAGTTTATTTTAAGGAAAGTGTTACCGAATTATTAATAAGTAAGTCATTTATGGGAAAATGAAAGATAGTAATAAAAAGAAAGCCTCAAATGCTAAATTTTATTTGAGTGTGGCGCATTTAAATAAATAAAAGAAATGTTTAAAATAAATATATAGTCGTTCGAGTCACTTTCCCATACTATTTATTTATTTTAAACTTGTTTATATGAGTATAATTATAGTAATTATAGATTGTTATTGGGTTAGATATTTGAGATTATGCGGAAAACAGCCTTAAACTCGGAAGAAACGCGTCTGTATTCATATTAATGAAAATATTTATATATAAAATAGATAACGATCGCACATAAATAAACTGACGCAATTTATACTCCGTTTTTAATCTTAAACATATTTACGCGTAGGTTGATAAAAATTTGTGAAAGCATAATGAAATTACGAATTATGGGAACCTTGAAACCCAATTTTATCACTTTAAGTCGCGTGTAAAACCAATCACTGCTTTGATGTATTTTTAATACATCTTCATATGGTATAGACCATCCCTTCTTGAATTAAAAAATCACACACACAAGAAAATGGGGGAAGAAAAAAAGGGTCAATACGCGGAAAAAACGGAAGAAAAAAATGAATTTTAATGAACATAAGTTTGGAAATATTTTTTTTTTTGTTGATTATGCTATAATGATCGACAGTCACAGTGATCTTCCATCTGTAGACTTTCAATTGATTGTATAAATTGTACAGTAAAAAAAAAAATACCCTTGATATCTTATTTAAAAAAGCAGGGTCCATATACCAATTTATCCATGTCGTGTAACGATTTGCGGGAGGCTTATTCAAAAGAATCAAAAAAAAAAAAAAAAAAAAAAAAAAGAAATTTCTTACGCATTTGACCTTCTTATATCCTTCTAAATTGACTCACACGAGAAAGAGAATTCGAGCAAAAAGAAGCCATCATTGTGGTTATTAAACTTTAAAAACAAAGAATTAGATTTTCACAAACTTCCTTGTTGAATACGCATATATCTTACTAATATCTTCAATAGCCACCTTCTAAGCCTCCTTTTCACACATAAATAATCGCTGCGGGCAACGTGGATTATTTTATCTGGTTCTCCTTTTCCTAAACAATTTGCGTGAGTTTTATGTTTACGTGTGTAACTGATGTAACTGATGTAGTTCTCTTGACATCATCGTACCCAAATTTACACATTAAATGCTGCGCCAGATCTAATGTTAACGTGGATGTTACACTACATTCTTTAATCAGAAATTTACCGTAAAAAAAAAAAAATTCTTTTTGGGGGCGATGCGGTTATCTCGGATGACTCGTATCATTTTGATCTATTCTAAACTTTATTATCTTTAGGAATTAAGTTACAGTAAACTCTAACAGACAATGGAATATGGTATCATCATTACGTTAATATTATTATCTTTCATAAACAACGGCATGCAGCTGATCTCTTGTGTAAAGATTTAAGAATAAAAATATTTTTTTTTTACATTCATATTTTTTACCGCTAATGCTATTACGTATCACTATAAAAGCCAAGAAAAACTTTAAATCCTTCTTTTATTCTTGTATTTGTGTGGAATCTTTATTTTGATATGAATGATTAACAAATAGTTTAAATAACCAAAACATTTAAAATAAACAAAAAAACATCCCCCCGTACTAATACCAAAATTTTACTTTCGAAACATTTTATATGTACTTTGAATTTTTCATTACATTGGAAAGAGTGCAAATATAAATACAAGTAGAATCTGTAGAATTTGTAGAATTTAAATTCTTTGATTCGACAAGGCTTACTGCGCCGAATGTTTTAATTTCACGTGACAAAATAAAAAAAAAAATTGTATAATTCAACCAACGCCGTATATTTTTTCAACATATGTAACCCAATGAACAATGACCTTTCTTACGTCTTCCCATCCATGCATCGCATTATTACTACCTAAATTCTGGGCCTTAACCTTGAACCATTCTCGATGTAAATTTCCACATTTTTCACACTTTTCTATGTCCGCTTTAAATCTTGCCCCAAGTTCAATATGAATTAATCTTTCAGCACGATGAGTGTATTTACATTTAGCTACAGAATTGAATTCTAACTGATTGTCAAAATTCACGGAATTCTCTCCTTCTCTATCGATCAAAAATTCTTGGGAAGAAAAGGATGAGAGTATCTCGACATTAGGGAAGTTTTCAATTAACTCGGGCGTGTAACCACATTGTTTAGCCCACTGGTAAAGACGTCTGTGAACATTTGTGGCACGACCAACTTTATAAAGTGTGTACTGAGAATTTTTCTCAGAATTAGGACCTAATTAATATAAATAATGAATAAAAATATTCTAAAAATTAATTTGCACTATATGACTATATGTATAATTTACCTTCGAGTAATTTATATGCGTATATGAAACCGGGTTCGTCTCTATCAGCAATTGGTTTCTCCATTTCTAATCTTAATAAACGTCTAGTGTCCGCCGAGAGATCATGCTTAATCCAGTCTATTGAGAAAGAAATATTTGATAAATGTTCTAAAAATTAAAAAAATATCCAAATTTGATATTTACCTCCAAAACGAAGCCACGTTAACCTTGCCCTCCCAGGAACAAAAACGGCTTTTTCTAACTCTTCTTCAGGTTCATCTCTTTTGTGTTTGTGACAAAATTCTTCTAAAGGTTTGATTTTACGATTGCAAATTTTGCCATTTTTAATACGTCCCTGACACAGGTTGGATGGAGAAGACGTGCTAGAATAATCACCGGTTAAATCAGTTTGATCACGAGAACGTGTAGGCGTGATAGAACCGGGTGTTGTATTTTTTATTGACACACGTGATTCATATGATGTATTTATACACGACGAAAGAATTCGCGTTTTTGTTGGTGTTGGTGTTAAAGGTGGTTTTCTATCTGGCGTACTAGGAGATTGACAAGGTGATTTTGATGCTATTTTTTGTTCGGGATTGAGCATTCCAAACAAATAATCTAACGGGCTTTTAGATTGGCTTGGTGAAATGGATAACAAAGGCGCCAAAACGAGCTCATTAGACGGTGTTATTAAGGTCGGCGTTTGAAACAATTCTTTATTTGTTGTTTCAAGGAAGCTATCATCAACACATGCAGGGCTTTCTATAGGAAAGCGATCTTGAGGTGGTAACTTATTAACATCCGTGTCAGTCTGCACCCATTTAGTTGAGGAAAGGATTCTTTTCTGGGTGAATTCTGCTCTATCTAAATCTGAACGGATAGACGGTGGTGTTTGCTCACGATTTTCGAAATTTGATTCAGAAGATATCGATACTTGTGTGGATTTTTTAGATATCTCTTCGGTTATTTGAACTTTTAATTTATTGAGGTTTATTGTGATCACGGTTGAACCCGTTTCACTATTCTTAATTTTCGAATCATCCTGAGTCAATTGACCTTTCTTTGAACTATTTAACGATAAGGAGTTCATTTTATCTTCTATTTCACCTAGCTTTTCTCGGGTATCTTTTGTTAAATCATTTGAAAGGTCTATAATATCAACTTCCGAATTAATTTCATTTTTAGGTAAATCGTTCTTTTTTGAAGCAGTTAATAACCCAAATATATTTTTTCCAGTACTTTGAACCTTATGTTGATGACAAAAATCATCAAGTACCATGCGCTTACAAGGTCGGCCCGTAGAGACCGATGTCCCTTTGCACACTGTTGTACGAGGAGTAAGTGTCTTTTGTTTTTCGGAGATAATTGGTGTAGTTACATGAGATTGTGTGGAAATTCTTGGAGTTTTAGTTGATAATTCTTCAATAGTGGGTGCTTGTAAAGGAGGGGAATTTCTTCTGCTATAAGTTACCATTTTTATAAACTTTCCTATAAAAAGTCTGCAAAGATTAAATAAAAAATTTTTGCAAACCTAAGGTTCGTTTGTTTATTTTATCCTAATTTGTTTATTGTTACACAGTTACGCAATCGCGGTTAAGCGTATCACGTGAATTTAATTTTCTACATCACTCGCGTTATTTAAATTTGATTGGACTTAACACAGCTTGACTTACAAATTTATTAACAAATCGATAAAATTCGATTACTAGATTACTCAGATTACTCTAATGTTGGAAATTCTTGATTCCCTCCTAATCCACTTATTCTTCCACTCGTCATATCCATTTCTCTACCGATCGGTCCTAATGCTGTTTTTCCAATTAAATCCATAGTTAAACTACTCAAAAAACAAGGAATAGATCCACGTTCTACGACCCAATATTTGATTAAGTTATCCAAACTCTTGATATATTCAGTATTTCCACCATCAACAAGTTGCATGGTACCAAGATTATCCTCATCAGAGGTAAAAACTAATGAATGGTCATCCTGTTCTGAATACATAGAAGTTAATCGAACGCGACCGTTTTCAAGAAATTCTACCTTATAACCAAGAAGGCTATAAACAGCTTCACGGTATTCTTGAGCTTTAGCTTTCCAAACCTATTAATAACGAAATATTAATACATGATGCAGACTATCATTGATAATTTATATATTTTTAAACACCTCTTTAAGTCTTGTCATTCTCTTTTCCTTATCTGCAACCTGATCTATAAGTTGCTTATTCTCTTCTTCCAAATTTAAATAACTTTGAATTGGAAAGACTCTAATTGTTTCTTTCTCAGAATCATTATCTTCGGTTAATTCTAATGTAATGGTAGGATGATTTTCAAGAATTTGATACAATTCTTTAAGTTTAGTTTTTAAATCCTGGTTTTCTGTTGCCAATCCCTGCAATCTATTCTCGCGCAATGAAAATTCCTTGGAAGCAGGATTATCTTTCATCTCCAGCACCTTTTTTAAAATTTGTAAGGTTAGTGTTAAAATTGTGATAAAACATTTAATTTGCAAAATAAATCATATAACTCAAATTATGGAACTTTCAATAACATACCCGAATTGTTTCCTTATTGTATTCACCTCTACCTACTGCCCTCTCAAGAATATCGATTTGATTATCTAATAACATTATTTTTTCCTTCAAAGATGCATTTTCGGTTTTGAGATCTTTTACAGCTGAGAAAAATAAATTTACGTTAGAAAATATAACACGATTCTTAAAACAAAGATAATTAGTAAAATAAGAAAATGTTCATACTTTCTTGTAAAATTTCATTCTGTTTAATTAATTCTGATGAATGTACTTTCAATTCAGTTTGTTCGTAAATATTTATTTGGTTTTGTAAAGATGCTATTTCATTTTGTAGATTTGCCTTTTCATTCTCTAGTTTAAGAATATCTGTATATAAAATAGTAAAATTAATGAACATTCGTCAATGTATATAATACTATGTATATTAGTGATAAAAAAATTGCTTGCCTTGTGTTAGTTGTTCATTACGTTGCATTACCTCAAGCGAATGGAGATTTAATTCTGAGAATTCCGGATACTCTTCATGTTTTGGTTGAATGTTAGTTGCCTTATTTTCACATTGTTCTAAAGCTTCTTTGTATTCTGCAAGCAATTTTTCCAAATTCTGGATTCTTTCGGTTTTTTGTGGTTCAAAGTTTGATTGTAGTTGTTTCTCTTCTTCGTCGTATGATCTCTAAAATAAATATGTTGGTACAATAGGTCATTCTAGAAAATATCACTCGTATTTTTTACTTACCAAAGAATTCATTAACATTTCAACCTCCTTTTGAAGAAGTCTTTTACTTCCTTTAGATGCTTCAATTTCATTTAAAAATTTACTTTCCATAGCTTTATATTTGAATCTTAATTCTTTAATCTTAACATAATGAATAAAATTGATTGATGAGTTATAATATAACAACATATATTGCAAATTTTTTTTTAATACATACTTTAGACTCATGATCAACAATCACTAAGTCTTTATTCCTAACTTGTTCTTCCAAAGATCGGGTTCTTATCTGTAAAAGCTCTATTTCATTTCGCCTAGAAACAAGTTCCTTTACAACAGTATACGGAGTATTGCTATTAATATTGTCTTTTTCCTGATCAAGTAGACTTGTCCTGTAAAAAATTTAATACTAATAAATTTATGAAGCAAATAAAATTTTGAGAATAATATTTACGAATTAAACTACACAGTTACCATGATACTTTTTCTTTTTTTAACGTTGTATTTTCAACTTCTAATTCTGCAGCTTCTCGGCGAAGTGTATTCATATTTAAAAGTTGATATTCCGCTCTTTCTAATTTATGCTGTAAAATCTGAATGCTAGGTGACAATTCTTTATTACGATTAATTTCCTTTGTTAAATAACGGTTTCTTAATTCGAGTTCTTGGATATGTTCAGATTGCTCTATTATTAGGATAATTGTTCAATTAATATTTAAAACGTTTAACCATCTAAGAATGACTTAATTTAATACCTTGGACTTTCTTATTATGAGTTTCGATTTGATCCAATTGAGTAGATAAATGATTAAACTCATTTAATTTTTCCTGAGTTTCATCCAAACGTTGCTGAGTTTCATTCAACAGTTTTTGTCTTGAAGCAGATATATCATGTTGCTGACGTATCTAATAATACATTTGAATTAAATAATTGAATAATATTTTTTTTTTTATGCCAAGAATACAAAATATGATTACCTGTTCATTAAGATTTTCAACCTGATATTGAAGTTTTGATGCTTCTAATTCTGTAGACTGTACTTTACGTGTCAAATCATTTTCTTTAATAAGATTTTCAGTTTTAAGATCTTCCAGATTCTGTTGTAGCTCACGAATTTTATCTTTAAGCGTTTGGGTTTCACAAGCTGCTGCTTGCTAAATAATCGATAAATCTTTATTAATAAAATTTATTATTAAAAGGATAATTTCACTAATTTATCAACTAACCTTCAATTTGATATTTTCAAGTTCCAAATTTTCCAAACTTTTTAATGCGTCTTTCTCTCGATTGTAATAAAAGTCTTTGTCTTTTTCTAAACCCTAATAATTAAAATAACAAATGATACAATAAATACAACTTGAACAATTCTTACTTTCTGTGCACAAAATAAACATACAACGAAATAAAAAAAACCTCAATCTGAAGACCAAGTTCTCGGTTCTTGAGTTCTAAACTTTTATTTTCGGCCTCAAGTCTGCCAAATTTCAGATCTAAATTATCCTTTGATATTTCGAGAGATTTAATTTTTGTACGAGCCTCAATTAACTCTCGATCATTTTTCGGGCTAAAAGCTGTAAAATTTATAGTGGATTCTAAAAAAAAAAAAATATATATATATATAGAATAAATATAAATTTACAAATTAAAAAAATAGATATTTGCTCTGTTTACATCTGATTAGACCATTATTATGTACTCTGTAAAGAACTAAAATCCGGCATGAAATTAAAAGGATCTCTCGATGGGGTTATCGATGGACTGGTAAACCGGATTGGACTCTCCACATCTAACCTAGATCTCTATATAAAGAATGTTATAGTAAGTATCACTTGCAAAATTAAAATGAATCAATTTGACAAACAAGAAAATGACCCTTAAACTATAAATTGAAAATAATGTTACTTTAGAAGGCCGATCTCCAAGCCCAGAATGAAATATTTTAGTATTGTTATCTACTTTAAATATTGAAGGAACGTTACTACTTGTAGATGCCGTAGGTTTAAAAGGGTTATCATTGTGCTGATCGCTTTGTTGCGACTGATTCTTTTTTGCAGAGCGCTGGTAAGGAGGGTATGACATTTCGGAATTGTTATAATTTTATATCAAGGAATGTCCGATTTTTGTCTAGAAAAAAAATAACATTGCTTAATTGTATGTCTAAAAATGGAAATAATCTTATACGCGTTAATTTCGTAAATGGACTGCGGAGCTATGGCTGTTTTAGGATTAGGTTAGAGTTAGTATATTAAGTTTCACAATGCGTTACACTTCGATGTTCAGGAGAAGAAAGAAAATGCTATTCATTGCTGTCCCTGCATTTTACGCGGGTAAATGTAAAATAAAAAACCATAATTTTTTATCGGTTTTTACTATTAAAATATTAAAATCCGGTTATTTTTTTGATGATCGTTTTCTATTAATATCGAATACATCATTATGCATAAGATGCATCATTTCACATTGAATTTGAAATTCATTTTGTGACGCAATTAACTGTTCTAGGATTTATGATAAAATCATGCTTACCTTTACATAAAGATTGCATTCACATTGACCGATCTTATTCATTTTCATAAAATTAATGACAACATTCTTTTCAAAAGAGAAATCTCACTTCAGATCTATTATTGAGAATTTACCAAAAATGGTTTCTTTGAACATATTTCTGTTGACGATTCTCATTTTTGTTATTCTTTGTACAACAGCATGATAACTGTTGAATGAATATCTATTCCACATATGAGATAGTTCATTGTTTTTAATTGTTACCATCATATTTAAAGTTTAATTAGATTACTTGTAAGTATAAAAAATTTTCATTTAACCAGTTAAAAAAAAGTTGGATTGATTTTTTCTTTGATCTTTTTTTTTTACGTGACTCTTTTTTTCACACGTATCAATGGTTGGCTAAGCCATAAGCCATTGTGTTTTCCAATGCATAATGCATCGGGCCAATATTATATCAAAAAGTATTAATTATATTTTGTTATTTTAAAAGGTATTTCTTAAATAGCTGTCATCTCGAATTTATTTTGAAATTCACTCGATTATCAAAAAAAAAAAAGGCTGAGGTAACACCAAAAGACAATGTTTACATGCTGTATCCTCTATAATTGTGATTCGTTGGTGAATTGATCGAGAACGCAAAATAGTCCAACAAGGTAACAAGTTGCCGCGCCATTGTATTCCTTTAAATTTACCCAATAAGTCAATTGTATTGTAATCTTTATATATATATATATTCATTCATTTCCATATTTATTACGAATATCTCTATAAAAAAAAAGGATATAAAAGAGAGCAATATCTTCCTAAATTCATTTTGAAATAAAAGTAATAAAGACATGACCAACACGAGATATGGCGATTAGTAGTAGTTCCGATCGGCATTTATCACATTTTGTGTTGGAATCGCTACCGCCAATGATGTCAGTATCATTTTTTGATTATAAATAATCAAAAAAAAAAAAAAAAAAAAAAAAAAAAAAATCAAAATTTTAGAGTTTGCTTCCGCTTTTAATTTTTTCAGTCATGGCCTTTTTCCCGTATAACAATATTACAAAGTAACTAGAGATACTTGTTTCCTGTTTAAGTTTTACAGGTTAAGCATATAGTACTCTTAAATACAAACTACTTAAGTAGGGATAACTATTGTACTATTATGAATACTGTCATTGCTTATCGTGACAGTTTCGCTGACCGTCACTAGCTCATTTACATCAATTTTCTTCATCAAATTTCTATATAAACAACTTTTTTTTTTGTTTATTTCCCATACAGCTATCGGTTGGAGGTTTCTCAACAACCTATCCGAGCAAGAATGTGTGGTTTTGGGGATAAAGATCGCCGTCCAATTGATCCCCCGCCTGTTGTTAGACTTCTCGTATCTACTGCCGATGGAACTCCTGTACCTGAAAGGTAAGATTCTATTATTTGGTTTTAATGTTATGTGTAATGCAAAACTTAATTCTAACAGATAAAGATATTGCAATCCATGCCATTCGATCTTTTTTAAATACGTGAACTTTTTGGTCAATCCGATTTATATAATCTATTCTCCTAAATATTGGTTAGTTCTGTCGATCATTCTATGATGATCGTACACGCTGGTCTATGGTCTGAAAATCGTACGGAAGAGCGCAGTCTTGTAATCAATCCTTCTTCAATTCCCACTCAATCGACTGGTCCTAGCTCAACCGTCATGTCATTAAATGCTCCTTCGTGTACTCGTAATCTCATGGGTCATTGTACTTCATCTGCATATGTTCTCAATAACAACTTGGGTCAACAAGGAATTTATTTTATATTTCAAGATCTATCCGTTCGCACCGAAGGAACGTTTACATTAAAATTTTCGTTTTGTGACGTCAAGGGTTTGTTAGTTCGGTAAGTATCATTTATGAATTTCTGGAAGCCTTCACATCACAAGAATTTAGAATTTACTAAAAAAAAAAACGTTTTTATTCTGGCGGAATCGATAGATCACTTAGCGGATATACTAATAGTCGTGGAAGTGTAGCGGCTGAAGTATACAGTGCTCCTTTTAAAGTATATTCTGCAAAAAAATTTCCCGGGATGACAGGTACGAAAAGAGCGACATGATCTCATGTTGATCAGATGACTATTGATTTCAGGTTTTTGAGCTTGTTATAGGTTTGTATATTATAACTGTATATATTTTTTTCTTCTTAAACTATATATATATTATTATGTTATTTTATAATAGAGTCAACGGCACTGTCGAAAGCTTTTGCAAAACAAGGAATTAAAATTCCGATAAGAAAAGAAACGAGATATCGGAAAACAAATAACGAAGAAACACGCGACCCAACAAACGAAGAAGTTCCTGAGTCTTCATCTTCGGCATTACCGACATCAACTATTAGTGACTCTAAAGTTTCCGAAACTACTGTTGAGAGTACGGGTAATGATGAGAAGCGTAATCATCATGATCTTTCTGATGACGATACAGATACGGTTCGAGATTCCGAGGAAGGAAAAGGCAAGTCTGCCGAAAAACGGCGACGAAAGTCTAAATAAATAAATAATTTAAGGAAGGAGATTGATCTTCGATTTGATTATGTCTTTTCGCTGAATTTTATTTTATGTTAGCATAATTCATTAATTTGAGTCAAAATAATTATGCAATAATGTAAGTTATTTTGTCATGATTTTTTAAGAGCCTTTTCCTATAATTTTCAGTAATTATCTAACTTTATAAATTAATTTATAGAATTACCCATATAAGTATTTAAAGTATACACGTAATTTATGTTGTTGTGTTTAATGAAATTTAATTATAATTTTAAAATTATAATTAGAAATAAGTTAAATAAATTTTAAGATTTTTTAATCATAATAATGAATTCTATTTATCTGGTATATTTAAGTGATTAGGAAAATGTAATACAATTTTAGAATTTAAATATCTAAATAAAAGGACTTCATAATTAAACAATAAGATTAAAACAAATATTTTGTTTTAATTATAAAAGATAAACTAAGCTATTTATTCGGTTATTTAGGAGGTTATATAAGTATAATTATAAATATATTGTAAAATATTTCATGGGCAATAAAAATTGCTCAACTATAAAAAAATACCATATAATCGCTTGAATATGGTTATTTAAATTTTTGGTATTTTTATAGTTTTACTAACCATGGTTATTCCCATTAATCCAAATAACAAAACAAAAGGATGAAAATCGAAATTTATAGGCAGTTTGATTATTCCACCGGGAAGATTATCCTCGATATATCCATTATTAGCAAGATAAGCAACTAATGCCATTATGCACAGGGTCGTTGGTATTGGCGTACCTTCAAAATAATGAACTTTACCGGATTTATCCTTGGGAAGCGATGCTACAGTAGCGTTATATCGCGCCAGACGAGCAATTCCACAAGATATAAAAACTACCAAAACAATTGAATCCAAGAATGTGCGCATGCCAACTGCAAAGGCGCATACTGCCGGGGCAACACCGAATGATATCTAGGATGTTGCAAAATTAGTTACGATGATAGAACACTAAATTAAACATAAAATAAATTATACTTAATTTACCAAATCCGCTAAAGAATCTAACTCCTGTCCCAAAGTACTAGCAGTTCTTCTCCATCTTGCTACTTTTCCATCAAAAAGATCAAACATCATTCCCAATGGCATTAATAATAAGCTCATCCAAAGGAAATTTTTATCTTTCGTAATCATATACTGTATACTTAAAAAAATTGACGAAGAACCACATGCACCGTTTGCTAGTGTAATAATGTCTGCAAGATGAAAATTGCTAAATAAAAAATTAGAATTTTAAAAAGTCCAAAAATGACAGTTAGACCTTATAAAATTATACTTACCGCACTAAAGAAAAATGTTTATCGTCATCAACGAATTGTTTTAATTCTTCGTTCATATTTTTTACATTACTTTTTGCAACTTCCTCAACTTTCTCTACTTTCTCTACTTTCGAGCGTTTAGACATTGTAATTATTTTTATTTTTTTTTTTTCACCCAGCCTGTGAACTTTATTTATATCATTTTATTACAGGAAATGATGCTATAATTTAATCATGATTCTGTCATAAATTTACAAAATGATCTGTTTGTATTTTTCCATATCTGTTATTATACTAACTATAGAACACTATTATAAAATTATACAGAAAAAAACATTTCTTATATAGGATTTACTTTGAGAGTTAAAGAAATTTTTTATTTATTGCAACCATGAAATCACTTTTACTTTTTTTTACTTATCTAGATTGACTATTTTTGAACTGTAAGCCGGTTAAGATTTAATTACGAAAGTTAATAAAAATTACGAAAGTCAATAAAATTAAATCAATTCCCCCCAAAAATACAAACCGATATTGATCAATATTGTCCTTTGTTAAAATCACAAGTTCTCGTTTTGTCAAAGGCTTTTTGGTCAGAGGGCAGGTGTTCTTTTGAGCTTCGGAAGAAAGGCATCGAACCCAATTATCATATCTATTAAGTGTAAAGTAAAGTAAAAATAAGGTTTTAAACAAACAAATTATATTTAAATAAAGTATAATACCCCATTACGTGTCCATATGGGGAAATTGCAGGTTTAACTACTGCTTCTAACGTTATTGGATCAATGAAACCGGGTAATGGATTGTCATCATCAACATCTTCCATTTCGATATCATGATTGCGTGGCCCTTTACTTGACGATGACTGAGACCTTGTTCTCTTTGTTGTATTCCATGATTTTAAAATATAGCTTCCTGAATCGTCGTAATCGAAATCCTCTTCTTCATCTTCATCATCAGAAGCAAAACCTCGCCTTTTTCCCGGTTTACGTTTCTTCTTGGCAGGTGTTGATTTACTGGTAGTTTGAGATGATGATCTCTTCCGAGAAGCACTACCATGCTTAGTATGTGTTCGGAAAGTTTTTTCGGTTTCACCAGTTTTTTTGTTCTTGGTGCTGAATAAGAAATGAGCTTTACCCTTTTCATCAAGCACGTAATTAGGATCTTTGACACGACCAGTTTCTATTAATAATCGATAAAAGTTTGAACACTAAAAAAGGAAAATTATAATTATACATGCATACATTATACATATATAAATCATAATTCAATTTGGAATATCTTTAAACAAATAAATTAATTCATAATTTACCTGATAACCTACACGACCTGGAATTGCCATAGAAAATATCCCCCATTGGCCATCTGCTCCAATTTCTTTCAATCGTTTGAAAAATAGTTCCTCTTCTTCCTAAATTTCAAGGTTTAAATTTATTAATAGAAAATATATAACCTTTTTTTAAAAAAATGTACCGTACCTGTGTCCATTGTCCTTTTTTTTGCTCTTCGCCAGGAGCGTTGAATCGATAATAATAAGTGTTAGGTTTTGTATCAATTGCTTTATATGCTTTGATGCGAGCTTCTGACCAACCCTCAAATGCTTTTTCGAGATCTTTTGTATTATCTTGAACTTGCTTCAAAGCATCGTCTAATGCAAGACGACCTTTCATACGATATTGTCTAAAGAATAGTTAGTTTATCCATATATAAAATGGATGCAGAAACTAAAAACCAAAGTACAATGGTCTAAATATGTACTTTTTGGCAGTTTCTCCCGTCCATTTCTTCAGAGTTTCTTTCCGTTTCTTTAAGAGCTGTTCATATGCTTCTTTTTGTTCGTCAGTCATCAAATTTACTAGAAAACAGCGATAAAAGGATAGAAATAAAATGAGAGAAATGATGAATTGTAAGCATATATATGAGTAATTTTAAGATTAATCCGAAACGAAGACATACTATGATAAGAGCGCATGTTTCTTTCGGCTATTGTTTTACGAATTTCAATCAGATAACGTGGTTGTGTCATTCTTACAATAACTTCTTCCTGCAATTTTCAAAGATCATATCCTTATATTTTTGATAATAATATTCTAAAATATAAATTATGTCTATTTTATACCTCATCATTCTCACAATCTTTGAGCGCCTCTTCAATCTCTTCATCCGATACAAACTCAAACACAGCTCGAATTTTTTGTGACTTTCGTTCGCGTTCACGTCTCTCGAACTCTGCATACTACCATATGGTAGGGTTAACTTTTTTCTTTCTTTTTTTTTTCGATTGAAAACGGTTAAAAATAGGTTTACCTGGCGTTGTTGCAATGCTACACGTTTATCTATAATATCTTGTTCTGTTTCAGTGACATCTTGAGCAAACAAACTTTTTTTTCTGATTGTTTCGATTTCTTCACTATCAATTGATACATTAATTCAAAAGGATTCGGCCCAATTATCTCAATATTATATTAAAATTACCTCTCAGACATAAAAATCGGATCGATGTGATGATTTTCTTCCATTTGCTCGTTTTTCTCTTTTTCGTGCATATTATTTTTAAGTTTTTCCTAAATTACAACAATATATTTCATCAAATACTAAAGAAAATAATCGAGTTTTGATTAAAATAAATATATAACTTACCGATAGGTCTGAGACAAATATTGATGTAGGAGGTTTTGCCTCTCTCCAACTGACAAAAGTCGACTTTGTCATGGCTTTGACGAAATCTTTAGTTGTTGACGAAAGTTAACAAGAACCAAATAAAAAGCCTTAAGTATAGCTTTAAAGACTTAATAATCTTTCTTACCTTCTGGAAAGAATTTCGTACGTTGTTTTTCTTCTTTACAAGCCATAGAAGAGCTTCTTGTAGTATAGTGGCCACGAGCCATTGAAGCTACTTTCTAAAGTTTTCATACTAATAATATTATATAAAAGCTAAGTAATAATTACGACAACGTTGCTAATACTCACACTTAATGATTAACAAACTTATTTATTTTAGTGGCTTGTAAGAGTTACTGCTAGCTGCTCTAATTTTTGTACTCGCGTGGCTCGCGTTATTCTTTACTTCTATGTAGCAAGAAGTACTTTCGTATGTAGACGCGTAAAGTTTATTGCTTTGGAAATTGTCACGTGATAAAGATAAACGTATTTCATGTGACTTGATATTTTTCTAAAGAGAAACATGATTGGTTTAATAATCAGCCACAAAACAAAAAAACTAATTGGTTGTTTAAGCATGTTATGCGTGATACGCAAATTTCCGATAGAATAATATCATATAGTTTCTAAAGTAGTAATTTGAACTTATCACTTTCTTCTTTAATCATCAATCAATTCAGAATAACGACGAACATGTTGATGAGGAGCACTTTTATAAACAATCTATATGTACTATATTATTGATTGAAGAATTATTAATAGAAGGATTTATTACAGAATTTTTGAAATGAGAAGTATTCTTTCATGTATTTATATACAAAATCATTTTAATAGACTAAGCGCTTAAACAATTATTGTGATCCACGAAATAAAATCGTAAAATATTGAATAAAATGTGTTTCAGTCTTTAAATGGGATTGTTTTCTAATACTACACTGTTCTCAACGCAATTGACATAAATGGGGTCGTCTAAAGCCGTGTTCGATCACGTGACTTAATATTTTATAAATAAGTCATTTTTTTATGAACTAAGATTAATGTAAATATGTAAGTAATAGAATAAGTGTATTTTGACAAAAATGGATGACGAAAAATGAAAAAAGTCAAATAAGTCAAAAACGGTATTCAAAACCCCATGTCGTGCACTAAGTAAACTTGCACAGCAGGCTAAAATACACATACCATATGTAACTTTAAAGTTTTATATGTTGGCGAAAAGTTTTATTTGTAAAAAATAAATTTAAAAGCACGTAATCGAACCGTCCCCCTGGGAAAGAAAATTTTGATAATTTTCCTTGTGGTACAATGCAGATCGGGTGATCGGCACATGGAAAACTGGTCAGAAAATTTTTTGCGATAATCTAATTTTTGTTATTCACTATGAAAGACAACACAATATCTAAGGAACTTAATTCTGGAGATGGGAAAAATCGTTATAAAGTAATTTATTTTTCATTAATCAACCATTTATGTAAATATAATCTAATTTATTAAAATTTATTACAGTATCAACCTTTTAACGTGCGCGTAAAAAGTATCAAAATTGATATATCCCGCCGTGATAAAAATACTCAAGAAGACTCAGAGGTAACTAAATGCTTGTCTCGTTCTTTACTAATTCAATTAACTAACAATTTTCATAAATAATGTTCGAAATATTAATTAATTGAACAAGGATCTTGGTTCATTTTTTCAAGAATCATTGGAATCATGGAAAGAATTTAATTTGACAAGACATTTTGCAATTTTTGTTCACGAGGTGTCAGAATATTGTCAATCATTACCTCAATTGTTATATCATAAAGAAAAGATTGTTGAGATTCTGGAGAGAAATCTTAAAGTTGAAGATAGTTTGGCATTGGAACCTTTATTAGAGTTAGTAACTAAAAATCTATTAAATTATAATGAACTATTCAAATAATAATCTATTTCTGTTATTGATTCTTAGTTTAGTAACAAAACTTGCTAGGGATCTTGAAATTGAATTTTACTCGTATTTTGAACGAATATTTGCATGCATCATTCCTTTAACAAAGCATCGAGACATTAAAACTTTGGAAGTATGTATGATATGTTTAATAGTATTAAGAACTATTCTTTGACTTATATTTTTTTCTTCTCTTTTCATATTTAGTGCACTTTCAATTGCATTGCTTATTTATTTAAATATCTAATAAAACAAATTATTAATGATCTATGTCCAACATACCGGTAAAACATCCTATTATAACTATGCTATTTTCTTTAACCTATTTGTTAATCATTTATTTAATTTGTAACAAAGCCTTATAGCTCCATTGCTTGGCAAAGAGTACCAGAAACCTTATATTCAACGGTTTGCTGCCGAATCGTTTGCATTTCTTTTACGCAAAGCTCGAGGAAATAACCTTACAGAGATCATTAATTACATTATCGCTTCAATTTACGAATCTCCGTCAGAAATTTATTGCAGAGGGTTGAGCATGTTATTTAGTGAGGCTGCTAAAGTATATATATATTTACTATGTTATTTATCTATTTTTAAGTATTAATTTTATATAAATGTCATTTGTATAACCAAAGGCTTCCGAAAACAAACTTCATCCGAGGGGATCAATATTATTAAAAGAATTATTATACACCTCGTATTCAAAATGTGAGAAAATCAATGAAATTGGTATGATATGTTCCGACTCAATTATTATATAATAATCAAAATATGCATACTTTATTAATTGGTAATTGTTTCTTAAAAATATAATAGAAACATCTCCGTGTTATCATATTCTTAAAGAAACCACAATTGCACTTCTTCATTATATCAAATGCGAGAATTTTGGTCTAATATTGGATTTGTATTTGCGGGAAATTGAAAACGAGATTCGTGATAATTTGAGTAAACTCGATCTAAATGAAAGTGATTCAATATCAGAGACTTCCGTATTAAAAATTGGATTGAATTTATCTTTGATTTATATATGTTTGGCTGTTCGGAAAGGAGATCGAATTAATGGTAAGAATATGAAAATTAAATAAGATTTAATTTATCGCAAATTAATTTATATATTATTCGTACTAGATTTCAAACGTATTTTCAAGGTTGCGCAAATTATAGCTCCATATATATTTGTACCAGAATTATCTTTTCTTCGACAGTATTTTTTCAAAATGTGTGCTCCTTTGATCACATTGGCCAATCTAGATGATATTCTTGTTGGCGGAAAAGTCATCTTGGATAAAATATTCGAGTATAATGTATGTCAAAGTTGAGATTACATTTATTTGTGTTTTATTGAAATCTAATATTTTAATAATCTACAGGATGTTGACCTTGTATTATCATTCTCATTAAATCTATCAAATTTAAACTGGGAAGATTTTACTAAAATTATGCTTCCATACATTATAAGGTAATCATTTAATGATTTGCCTGCTTTTAGTTTATATCTTTTATTTATGTCGCTTCCTTTTAGGTTTTCTACAACGCACTGGGAAATAAATAGTACGAAATTGATCCTCTTTTGCGCCAATTTATTTTCAACGAATACTATCTCAATCTCTTCTGGGACTATTTCTTCATTTGTTACGAAAGATGGATTAATAAAATTTCCTAATATACAAAGGAAATCTGAAGAATCGAAATCTATAACGCATCTGAGCATTATAGATGGATTAATAGATATATTTAAGCAGGACCGCGATTGGTTTTCAGATGCACAAAAATTAAGTTGGATTTACTTAAATGAGGTAATTTTTTTTAGTCGAATAGTATATATGATAACCTTTATTAATTTTTAATATAATATTCAAATTTTTTTAGGAGTTCAGTTTTAATTCAGGGATAACTTTAGTTTCAGCTGCTCTTACTGTTATACCTCACTTGTTGACACAAACTGATTCAGTTATTGTTTCATTATCTTCATTAATAAAATCATTGTCACACTGTTTACAGTCATCTAAAATTCAAATTTCACCGCTTACAAGGAGACCGTTTATTGATGGATCACCGCTTTTCTTGATACAAAATTTATTGGGCCAAGCAATTGAAACAATAACAATATTTGTGCGAACAAATTGTGGAAATGACGAAAATGGATTTATGTTCGAATTATGGAGTTTGATTGTTGATGAGATCTTGATTCAATATGGAACAAACGAAATGATTTTGAGAGGAATTGCAGGATATATGGAACATATGAAATCATGGTATAACTTTACTATAATTATAAAGTTTTTTTATATTTCAATATCTTGACTTTTCTTATTTCATTGTAGCTATAAACGTGGTGATCTATTTAGTACAAACAATCTTAAAAAAATTTATCCTTATCTAAAGTCAAATTTTAGTTCATTTAAACACCGTCGTCGATTGTATTCATTTATGATTCTTAAACTTTTTGATCAATTTTATCTCCGATCTGAGGAGAAATTTAATGATAAAGAACCTTGCGAGATTTTTGCAATAGCTTTAAAAGTTGAGGAAATAAGTACAACAATATCAACATATCGTGAAAAAGCGATGCATCTACGGAAATTGAATGCTTTAATATCTTCAAAACGTGTACCCGAATTTTATTCTGAAGTTGTACCACTGTACTGTTTTGGTAAGTATTTATTAATTAATTTAATTTTATATTAATTAATCAAATATTTTAATTTTGAACCATTTCTGTCCTAGGTTTATTGACTATAAATTTTAGTGCTATATGGACGGATGCGATAAATGCCCTAGTAAATTTTTCACAAGTTGATTCTCATACATTTTGGAATTTGATTTATAACGAACTTTCGCGATTTGAGGAAGAATCGAAATTAGCAGAAAATGGATTCTCGAAATATACTCTTGAAGCGTATTTTGACAAATTAGATAAAACGTTGATTTCTTCAAAGATTAATGATAAATCTTTCGAATGTCCCTACTTAAATAAATTTAATAAAGTAGCTAACGAGTCATTCAAGTTCTTTGAAAATAATGGTCAACCCAGTTTATTAATGCATTACATTTTGGTGAATGAGAGCATTATTTTTTTAAAAATTTTGATTCAACATTCTTTGTTATTAATTTGGAAAGTGATTAATTTTTTTTTTTTTTGATAGACGTGCGATCCCCAAAACGAAAGGCTAGATTATTGGAATTATCATGGACTTCTTATAAAGACTCTTATTGAAGTACCACATATTGCCGAACAGCATTCTAAACAATTTGTTCCCTTCTTCCTTAATTCTGAATATGATGAGGAATTATCGAATAAAATGGATATCGATGAACAAATTCTAGAGGAAAAGCTGCAAGTATTAGGAAGTAAATCCGAGAACGTTATAGAAGAAGTAAAAGAGGAAAGAATAATTATTCTTGAACCGTCTTCCAAGATAATAAAAACCAAAATGTCGCTTTTCTTAAAACTTTTTTCTAAATTTAAAAATCCTCGATCAGTTTATAAGTCAACTGAATTGCAAAATATTTACCTAGACTTGTTGACTATTGGAGATACCAAAACTCAAGCTCTTGCCTTGGAATGTCTTTTTACTTGGAAATATAAGGGGGTTACTCCTTATGAAGACAATCTCCGTAATTTTGTTAATGAGGTTAAATTTCGGGATGAGTTATCAACCTTTTCTTTAAATAAGGAAAATGGTTCCATAGAATTCTCACATAGAGCTGAATTAATGCCTATTGTTATTCGACTTTTATATGGTCGAATGATATCAAGAAAAGGTAAATCATCATCAAGTTCTGGAATGGGAACTCGTAGAGTTGCAGTATTGGCTGCTTTAGTAAATTGTTTAGAATCCGAATTAAAACTTTTGGTGGATTTACTACTTGGCCCTTTTACCATCATTCGTAACTTACCAGGCGTAGTTGATAATGAGTTTCAGTTCGAACCAGATTTAGAAGTATGCAAGTTTGTGACATACCGAAAACAACTTGGATATTTGAACTTTTTAGAAGATATGCTAAAACAATTAGGATTTTATCTATTGCCATTCATTCCTGATATGTTTAAAGTTGTTTTGTATATTGTTCATGATACTCAAAGAAAATTGATATCACAAGATCAGCGTCAAAACATTTCATCAGATGATAATGATAGGGAGAACGATAACGTTGAAATGAAAATCGAGGAAAATAAAGAAAATAGTCAGAAATTAAAAGTTATCAGACAATTAGGGCTGAAAAGAATAGTTGGATTTTTCAAAATTCGTACAAGTTTTGACTATCAACCTTATATTAATTCTATGTTCAAATCCTTCTTGTCAATTAAAGTTCCCAAATTGGATATTGAAAGTACGCAAGCACCTTCAGCAATAATGGAATTATTTGCTGTATGGGCCTTGCGTAAAGAGTACGTGCTATTCTTGGTCAATTACAATAAGGATGTTTTGCCTAAAATTTTTGCGTGTTTGTCTGCGAAAAAAGTTTGTGAGCACGTAATTTCAAAAGTTTTGGATATCGCTGATAGTATCTTAAAATTATGTGGAAATGAAATGGATATTGATGATGAAATCCAAAAGGATGAAAACTCTTTAAAAAATCGAGTCCTAAGACCATATGTTTCATCATTACTAGATAATCTTGAATATGTGTTGTTGCAATCTAGCGAATCTACTTCTTTTGGAAAAGATTACTTTTCTAAACGTGAAATTGCAATATTATCTCAGATTGCAGGTTTTATTGAAAATGGTGATCAAGCAAAAAAATTGGTTGATTTACTTCTTCCATACCTTCGAAAGCGTTCACAAGTTGTTTCGGAAAAGACCAAAGCGGATATCTTACATATTGTTGCAAATTTCTTACATGTTATTCCAGGATTTCAACTTCGCAACGAATTGTTTTATAAATATTACAACTATATATCGTATGAATTTTCAACACTTCATTCCAGGGATTGTCGTTTATTTTTGGCAAAAATATATACTGAATTTTCCAAATATGATGAATCTTTGAAAGAAGTTGCTTCTATAATTGAAGATCTTAATGCGTTTTCAACAAAAAGGTTGGATGAACCGGATTTTGATAGACGGTTAGATGCATTTAACCGAATTAATCAAAACTTGTATAAGAAATTTGACGCAGTACAATGGCTGCCAATATTATTTAATTGCTTATTCTTTATTCAAGATCCGGAAGAGCTTTCAATCCGAAATAATTCGTCTTTTTGTATTATGAGATTTATTGATCGTGTAAAGGAAAATACTCAAATTCAAGAGGATTATCAAAACCTTTTGATTAAAGTCATTATCCCAGCAATCAAAAGAGGAATGAGAATGTCTTTAGAAATGGTACGGATAGAATTTCTTACAATTTTATCATATGCAATGAAGAAATGTCCGACAATAGCTCAATTTTCTGATATGGTCTGTTTGTTATTTGATGATGATGAGGCTAATTTTTTCAATAACATTCATCACATTCAAATTCATCGTCGTATCCGTGCACTTAAAAGATTCTCTAATGAGTGTGCAAATGGGAAAATAAAGAGTAACAATTTAGCACAGATATTTATGCCACTTATTGGTCATTTTATTTTCGAGGCAGATAGAGTGGCCGACCATTTATTAATTAATGAGACTATTTCAACCATTGGGATTATTGCGGGCCAACTTCCCTGGGGTCAATACTATACTCTTTTAAAACAATACATGAAGTTGATTCCTAAGAAACCTATGATAGAAAAGGTCTTGGTTCGAACTGTTATCTCTATATTGGACAATTTTCATTTTGACGTTTCAGAAGCCCAAATCTCCGAGACTCAAATAATAAGTTCGCAAGAACCTGCTATTCCAAATGAGCAATTAACAAAGGTAATAGAGCGGAATGATTTGTGCAATGAGGAATCCGATAAAAACATAGTTGTTGATGATGAGGTTGATGAAAACATGAATATGTTAGTAGAAGAATCTGAGGAATCACACCTATCTAAAGGTGAACAGTTTAGCGATGAGGCAAAAATAAAATCTTTAGCAAATCGTATTCATGATAAAGTTGTTAATAATTTAATTCCTGATCTTAAGCAATACCTAACTCAACATGATAATGAAAGTGTCATTATTCGTGTTCCAATCGCATTGGCAATTACCAAGCTTTTAAAAGCTTTGCCTGAGAAGTCACTTCGACTTAATTTACCTGGATTGCTTACTACTGTTTGTCAAATTTTAAGAAGTCGTCAGCAAGATGCTCGTGACACTACTAGAGATACTCTTAGTAAAATTTCAACTTTTCTTGGACCTTTATACTTTTCTTTTATAGTAAAGGAACTACGAGGTGCACTCACACGAGGATATCAGTTACATATTCTTGGATTTACAGTGCATACTCTTTTGGCCAATTTGGTACCAAATTTACAAGTTGGTGATCTCGATTATTGCCTTCAACATATAACTAAAATTATCGTAAATGATATATTTGGTAATGTTGGAGAAGAAAAAGATGCGGAGGAGATTACTGGAAAAATCAAGGAAATGAAATCCACTAAAAGTTTTGGAACGTTCGAACTTCTTGCCAAAATTATTGAATTTAAGAACATTGGTATCTTGCTTGTACCACTTAAAGAGATTATGCGTGAAACACAAAATCCACAAGTCTTACGCAAGATTGATGAAATATTACGGAAAATATCAGTTGGTTTGAATTCCAATCCACAATTCGACATCAAAGAAATGGTAACTTTTTGTCAAGGACTTATTTTACAAAATCTCAACATGTTAAAGTCGGAAAAAAAACTTAAGCCTAATAAAAGTGATATGGAGGCGAACTTTACAATTCAGCTCAAGCGAGATATTTCAGAGCCCGTGGATTATTATGACGCAAACTCTTATCGATTTGTGGAATTTGGTTTAACAATACTTTTGGCAGCATTAAAACGTGATAAATTTGATACCAAATCCGAGGAACAACTTAAATTATTGGAACCGTTTGTTAATACAATTGGAAATGCGTTATATTCAAAACATTTAAATATCAATATACTTTCGTTAAAGATTATGTGCATAATTTGCAAACTTAAACTAAAATCTTTAGACAATGCTTTACCTGTAATTGTAAAGCAGACTTTTTCATTAATAAGGACTTCAAATACCACTAATTCTGAATTGGTCCAAGCGTGTTTCAAATTACTTACCGTTATAATTCGCGATTGTAAGCATGTTGATTTCAAGGAAAGTCAATTAACTTTACTCATTAATCTTATCCGTCCTGATCTTGAGGAACCTCAACGTCAAGGAACGACATTCTCATTGATACGTGCTATCGTATCGCGTAAATTTGTAGTTCCTGAAATGTACGATTTAATGCAAACTGTTGCCGAAATAATGGTTACTAGTCAAACAGATTTAACGCGTGATTTATCGAGACAACTTCTACTTCAGTTTTTATTGGATTATCCTCAAGGACGCGGTCGATTGAAGAATCAATTGAATTTTTTGATCAAAAATATGAATTATATATTCGAAAGTGGACGACAATCAGTAATGGAAATGTTGAATTTAATGTTTGCCAAATTTAATGATGATATTTTAATGGAATATGCAGAAATGTTTTTCTTATCATTAGTAATGTCATTAGTGAATGACGATTCAAATAAATGTAGAGAAATGGCTGGAGTATTAATTAAAATTCTTTTGAATAGAATGGATGAAGTAAGACTTAGAAATGTATATGTCTTATTAAATAAGTGGTTTGAACAAAATGATAAAAGGAATTTACAGAGAATGGCAGTACAAGTCTATGGTCTTGTAATTGAAGTCTTTGGTGATAAATTTAAAAAACATATACCTGAATTATTGGATATCTTGGAGAAAGCTTTAAATATAAGTCAACAAGTTTCAGAACAATTAAACCAACATGCTAATGAAGATGATCTTATAACAACAATAGATAGTGTTGATTGGGAAATCGGATATTATACTCTTAACACTTTCATAAAATTAGTTAAAAATTTCCCTTCAGTTCTTTATTCGGATAAATCAAAGAACATTTGGGTATTAATAGATCATCATTTACTTTTCCCTCATAGCTGGATAAGACTTTCAACATGCAGATTGTTAGGGTTGTATTTTTCAAATATTAATCCCGAGACTAAGATTATTAGTGTAATCAATGAACGTAATGAATATTTATCAAAATCGGTGTTGAAAAAACTAGCAAATAAATTTTGTATTCAATTAAAGAGCGAACATTTAGGATCAGAACTTGCAACACAGATTGTAAAGAATTTATTTTTTATAGGAAAAAATCTTTACTATTTAACTTCTGATGAAGAGAATACATTAGAAGATGATGTCGAAGATGAGAATAATGATCAAGACAAAGAAGAGAACTATGAAATGAACGGCAATAATGAAGATGAAAAAAAACAAAATAAAATCAAAGCAAATCATTTGTTGATTTGGTTATTTAAGAAATTATCATATCAAGCTAGATTTGCCCCAATTAAAAGAGAAGACAATGATTTACAGGTATGCTCATTTGGGTCATAAAATGTATTTTGGGCTTGAATGCGTTAATAATTTTTGATCTATAAAATAGCGCACAAGCATATATCAATGGATTGCAGCAATGACAACATTTATCCCCTCATCAGACTTGATACCTTATCTTATATTCATAATTTCTCCTATTTACCGATTCGTTAATGATGAAACCATTAAAGGAAAAGAAATTGGTAAATTTGTTTTACGATTTACTTACGTCCTTCGTCTTTTTTTTTTTTCGTTAGTAACTAACTTTATTAATATTAAATAGATGGTGTTAAACAACTCGGTAAAGAAATACTTGATCTAGTACAAGAACGCGTCGGTACAACACAATTTCACATATCATATAATAAAATTAGACAACAAGTTTTGGAAGTTAGAAGAGAGCGTAAACATAAAAAAACAATTATGGTAAGGAAATATATTCTTTCTTTTGTACAATAATAATAAATAATTGATTTATCAATATCAAATTCATTTTTTATAGGCTCTTGTTGATCCAGAATCTGCAGCCAAACGTAAAATCCAAAAGAATGAAATGAAAAAACAAAACCGTAAAAGAAAGAATGCAAAATTAAATGATTTAGCAAAGAAACGACGTATTTCATAGCTTTTAGATATATTTTTAATTACCTATTATGTGTATGCTTAATAACAATAAAAAAAAAGTACATTATTAGATCATGTAACGTAGTACATCATATACGATATAATTAACCGTGGGAATGATTATGATAGTAGTTATATTTTTTAATTTAGTTCATAATGTCCACCTCAATTCCATTAAAACCAGTAGAGTTGTGGAGACCAAAAGATATTTCTAATACTGAAATTGAAAATTTTCGTATTAAAGTCAATAAAAAGTATAATATTAATCTAGGTACTATTTTGATACTTAAAATTTCATGTATGACAATGTCAAACGCGTTAGTAATTTATATAATTTTTTTTAAAAAAATTAAAACATATAGAGAATTATCAACAATTGTGGCAATGGTCGGTTGATAATATTCAAGAATTTTGGGCAGAAGTATGGGATTATACGAAATTAATTTATTCAGTCCCTTATCAACAGGTAAAGAGAAAATTTGATTCATTTAAATTTAATGTACGAGTACAATTTTAACAAGGTGATTATGCCTAAAATTAAAGGTGTTAGAAGATAAACCAATGGATCGAATACCAGCATGGTTTTTAGGAGCAAAACTTAATTTTGCAGAAAATTTGTTATGGTGTAGAGATAAAAACAGAGTAGCATTAATTTCAACAGGTACAATCGATTCATTTAATTATATTAATATTTATATTTTTGTAAAAAAAAAATACATCCCAAATTCTTTCAATTTAACTTTATAAATCTAAAATTTGTAATTTTAAGGCGAGAAAAGATCACCGACAAGTATAACATATTATGAATTATATGTACTAGTAAACAAATTATCAAGAGCCTTACGTAAAATAGGAGTATGTAAAGGAGATAGAGTAGGAGCATATATATCGAATTGTAGTGAAGCGATAATTGCAATGTTAGCAACTACTAGTATAGGAGCAATTTGGAGTAGCACTTCAACAGACTTTGGAGTTACGGGAGTATTGGATAGATTTTGTCAAATTAGTCCTAAAATATTATTTTCGGTTAATTCCATAATATATAATGATAAAGAACATAATCATTTAGATAAATTAAAAATTGTTGTAGAAAAGTTGAAGAATGAAGGATTAGAAAAGGTTGTGATCATTCCTTTCGTGGGAAAAATTGGGGAAGAAATTCATGATATTCCATTAGCATCATCTTGGGACGAGTTTATTATTTCACAAGGAGAAGGTGCAGTAGAGGAGAAAATCCAATTTGAACAATTACCATTTGATCATCCAGTTTACATCCTATTCAGTTCAGGTACAACGGGAAAACCGAAATGTTTAGTACATAGATCCGGATTATTATTACAACACAAAAAAGAACATATATTACATGGTAATATGAAAGAAGATGATGTATTCTTTTATTATACTACGACTGGATGGATGATGTGGAATTGGCTAGTTGCCGGATTAAGTGTTGGATCCAGTATTGTGTTGTATGATGGTAGTCCATTTAAGCCATCTCCATCCATACTTTGGGAATTAACTGAAAAATTAGGGTGAGTATTGGAAGAGAGAAAAATACAATTAATTTTTATTCAATAACTTTTTTTTTTTTAAAAAAAAAAATCATATTTTTAGAATTACAATATTTGGTACTTCAGCAAAATATATACAAAGTTTAGAGGATGTAGAATACAAACCAAAACGACATCATAATTTAAATAAACTTCGTATGATATTATCGACAGGATCACCTCTTAAACCAGAAAGTTTTGATTTTGTTTATAAAGAAATTAAAGATGATTTAGTATTGGGAAGCATTACAGGTGGTACTGATATTTGTTCATTATTTGCCGGACATAATGTCTCATTACCTGTTTATAGAGGTGAAATACAATGTATTTGTTTAGGTATGAAAGTTGAAGCTTGGAATGGTCAAGGTACGCTAATATTTTTAACTATTGAATCTATCATGATAAAATTAGTAAGAAATTATTTTTTTTTTTTCTTTAGGTAATCCAGTATATGGACAATCAGCGGATTTAGTGTGTACGAAACCATTTCCATGTATGCCAATATATTTCTGGAATGATACACCTTCACGCGATCTATACCGATCAGCGTACTTATCGACATATAGTGGAGTATGGTATCATGGAGATTTCATATTTATTAATCCTAATACAGGTGGAGTAATAATGTTAGGTAGAAGTGATGGAACATTAAATCCTGGTGGAGTAAGATTTGGTAGCGCAGAAATTTATAATATAATAGATGAATATTTTAGGAAAGATGGTATAATTGATAGTTTAGTTGTTGGACAAAAAACTAAGATGAATAATAATGAAAGTGAACGAGTTGTATTATTTTTAAAAATGGGTTATAAACAAAAATATGATAAAGAATTAATAGAAAATATCAAGAAAAAAATTAAAGATCAATTAAGTCCCAGACATGTTCCAACTTTTATTTTACCCATAGATGATATTCCAGTAAGTTCTATTTTTAAAAAATCCTTTTTTTTTTTTTTTTTTCAATTTATTTGAAACTTTATTTTAGATTTAAACAATTTTTCCAAAGTTTCAAAATCATATTTTTATTTGATTGTTCTTAAAACGTTTTTTCTTCTCCTNTTTTTTTTTTTTTTTTCTTTAAAAAAAGTATACTATTAACGGTAAAAAAGTCGAACTTGCAGTAAAAAGAATTATTTCTGGTGAACCAGTCATTCCTTCTGGTACTCTTGCTAACCCTGAAAGTCTTAAATTATATTATAATATACCTCAATTAAAATTAAAATTATAATTTAAGTACTAGATTTATGATTTTATTGATTTTATGATAAATATCTAATATCTGAAATATGTAATATTATATTTTAAGAAAATCATGAGATTAATAATAATAATATAAACATATCAGTATATTTTACTAGTAATAATTTTAAACCCCGAGTAAAATGTAAATTGATTTACTAAAGATGGTAGATAACTTAGTGTGAACTAAGTGTGTAAGGTATTATTGGTACTAATAATCAACACCTAATAATATTATATAATAAATATTTTGTTTTTAAATAACTAATTGAAGAATTCTAATTTAATTTTTTTACCAAATCATATTAATTAATAAACATTATCTTACATATTTTTTTTTTACACGAGTAAAAAAAAAATAAAAATAAAAATAAATTAGGAATTTTATATAATAGTAACAAAACTATTTGATTTAAAAAAAAAAAATATATATATATATTTATAAAAAGTAAACTCGAATCATAATTTTATTATTTGTTCGTTTTAAGTTTATCCTTTGGTTGATTAAAATAATCTTTTAAAACATACATAATACTTAAATATAAAAGATATATTATTGTAATTGTATTGTTATTGATTTCATCCGACATAAACCGTTTGATTATTATCTCCTGGTTTCTTTTTGGTTCCGGTTGCGCATAATTAACGTATATAATGCATATCCTGATCTCTAACACATATAATGCATAACGCATAACGCATAACGCATAATGCATAATGCATTACCGTATAAGGCATACAAGTGAAATTATATCAGTAATCATTGATTTTATTGATTTTGTTGATTTTATTGATTTTATTGATTTATTGGTCACGGAATGAATATTTATTTATTGATCGCATTTTTTACGGAAAATTTAAAAATGAAATCATAAATATTATGCCTGAAATTTTAACCAAAATGATGATAGAAAATCATTGATACCAAAAAAAGAATCAAAAATTACCAAGAGGATTTACAAAAAAAAGGATTTACTCAAGAGGATTTACCAGGAGGATTTACCAAGAGGCAAAAAAAAAAAAAAATCATATGAAAATTTTTGTTTTTAAAATTAACCGAAAATCGGAATTCGGAATTCAAAATCGGGAATCGGAATTATGAATAATATGAATGGATACAAGAATTAACCGATCATTTCATAATTTTTCCCCGAAAATCCCGAAAAGAAAAAAAAATTAAGAAAAAAACCTTTTTAAAAATCTTTTTTGAATGAACAATAAAGGGAAATTTCTAAAAAGAAAAAAATCTAATAATAAATTAAAATAATAATAATAAATAATAATAATAAATAATAATAATAAATAATAAATTAATAATGAATAATAAATTAATAATGAGATAAATAAAATAGATAGAACCAAAAAAAGTAAGTAAATGTTAATTAAAAAAATTTTTTTTTTTTTTTTTTTTT